AGAGAGTGAGCAAGCAAGATGCCTGCCTGTAGTGGCAACAGGAATGAATCCTGCTCATCTCAGCACTGGCTTGAGAGGGCGAGCAGGCTTCTGTTTTGGGTACCATAGCATTCCCTTTCCCAGTTCTTGCAAAAGTACTTACTTGTCCTTCTCCCTTCTACCGACAGCCCGTGGGGCTCAGTGGCCGAATAATGCTCCTTGGTATTAGGTAATAGTCTCTGACTGTGCTTTGCTTTAGCATGACATGGATCTCTACAGTGTGGGGCTGAGATCTGAAAGGCTCTGGCTGTTGTTGGGGAGTGATAGTTTTGTATGAAAGACCATCACAGCTTGGCACTGAAGGGACTCAGAATATTACTGTGGCCTGTGCTGTTACAGCAGCCCTGGCCTAAATGGCTCTGAAGTGTTTTTAGCTTTCTTCCTGCTCACCCCATCCTTATTCCAAGAAGAGAAGAGGGAAATAATTCATAACTTTGTTATGAGTGGTGGTTGTAGCCATGTTGGTCTAAGGAGAGAGGCAGACCAGTTTCTTTGGGTAAATGTCATATCTTTTATTAGGTGATTTTAGTTGGTCTAATAAGATATCAGATTTACCCAAAGAACCTTGTCTACCTAACATTTTTTATGCTATTTAAAAAGGGCTGCCAGCAGTCATGTGGGCAAGGAAGGAGTGCAAAGGGCACATTAAGGGCATGTACCTGTGGCTGCTCCGCTAACAACTTACACGTCCCTCGGCATCATGGCATTAAAGCCCCCGCTTGCAGCCTCAGAGCACTTCCTGCTCTTTCCTTGCATCCTGCCGGACTCCTGTGCGTCCCAGCCCTGTGCTCCATCACCTTGGTCTTCTCTGTCCATTGCCTCCCCTTCTGCATTACTGCACCTGCTACCTTACCACTAGTCCCTTCTCCATACCTTTGCTTTCTCACCACTCCACTGTCCTGCTTTGTTTGCCTATCCCACCAGCTCCAACATGAATTCACCCTTCAGCATGGTAAAGCTCCTGCTGATTGTTCCTTATGCTCTTCCCTTCTCAGGAGACAAGGAAAAGAGGGACACAGCACAGTAAACAGAGCACAGTAGAAGCCACGGTGTCCTCAGGCTCCTGGCTGCTTCCCTCTATTGAGCAGCAGGATTACTGGGGGCCTTTGGCCAAGGCATGCAGGCTGCTCCTTCCCATTGGCTGGGAAAACCTTTTAAAAGTGGTTTCTGCTGGATCAGCATCTATATGATTTTGCTCAGTTTAAACCTTAAGCAGCTGCTGACCTGCACCCACACTCTAAACACCTCGGAGGCTCAAGCCGGAAGCTGGGTTGCGCTCAGAAAACCCCACCCTACAGGAGGGGGAGTGGGGTCTATACAGTGGCTGGAAATGCATGTATAACCCCAGAAGCAGGTGTTCCAGCAAAGACACAGCACAGGATCTTCTGTAATCCAGGCTGAAAGGGGGAACTCCTCTGTAGGGACGTCGTTGACCGCTGAAGGAAGAGGCACGGAGACGTGCAAGAGATATCATCAGGCCTCTGATGGGCAGAGGCTTGCCTGCCATGGTGTGAACCCCAAAAGGCACAAGCTAAGCCAACGCAGTTCTGCAGAAGCCAAGGAGTGTTACACGGATTGGTTTCCCCCTGGAATCGCACAGTGACCCAGGAAGCTTTGGTCCCACAAGGTTTGTACTCAGATGCTTTGACGGTAGTTGATTTGTTCGACATTTTGTGCCTCATGTTGTATGTGCAGATGAAGATAATGCTGTTCTCGGAGGGTAGCCTATACCAGGCAAGGCTGATTTAATGCTTTTCTGGATGTTCTCTCCTACTGCTATGTATTTCTTGTGCTCTTGGACACTGGGTATGGGATCCCTGGCTTTAGCAGCGGTAGGGTTGACATTACTGCATGGGGGGATCAAGGAGAGAAAGCCAATCCTAGTGTATGGGATCTCATTGGCTCTTAGTGGTCATGTGTGTGTGTGTGGTTTTGGAAGCAGTGTCCATTGGCTTCATGAAGCCAAATATTAGCTGCATCTTGGTGGGAGCCAGCTATCTAAGGAGTGATTCAAAGAGCTAGCCTCCTCTGGGGTGTATGCAGGGTGGGGAGGGGACAGCATTGACTTAAAAGAGCTTTATTTAACCCTTCTGTCTTGTCACCCCAACACAAATACAGGGTCAATGCCAAGTGGCCAAGGTGGAACTCAATGGTGAAAGATAGACATATGCAGGTGTTGAGTGCCAGAAGTCTGTGTGTGCCCACAAGCCATTGATTGTATTTAATCTCATTGCTGATTTTCACATGTAAATAAATCTCACTGACAGTGGACAAAGCTTTAATGAGTAATGGTTTCCAAGGGCCCAGATACAGGATCCGCCAATTTGTACAGCACATGCAGCAGTAGTAAGCACATCCTGTGTATTCACAGTGACTTTGCTAGCAGGGAGGCTTGTGAACCCCCAGCCACCAGCTGAGGAAAACAGCACATCAGAGTGTTTTGCAAATGATGTTCTGACAATAGAGGGATGTTCGCCAGAGAGACAAATAGACATCCAATACTAGAAGGTAGCAAATGTTTAGAGTTAGGAAACAGTTTATGAATGAGGTTTTGTCTGTAAACGCTGATTGTTACAGACAAGGGTCCATAAGTGACGTGTGTGCATTGCAAAAGATGTTCCTCCATTCAAAGTGGCTGTGCACATCAGATGATGTCTTTGATTTGGGTCCAGAATAAATTTAGAAATGTGTTCCTGTTAGAACAGAGCTCCTTAATCACAATAGGAACATGGTTGCCTAAACCTTGGAGGGGTTGCTAAATCAACCTGTGCTGGCCTGGATAGTCGGGATAATCATTAGGGAGGGAAGCTATAGGTATGGCTGCCTGAGCAATGTGGATTTACTCCTTACCCCTTGCAATGAATAGCGGACTTGGAATTGCCTTTCTAACAGACATTTCATCTAGAGGCCCATCACTCACATAGGGTTCTGGCTGTAATAATGAGATTGGCAGTAGGGTCCAGAGCAATGACTGCTGCACTGAGGAATTGGGGAACTGACGTTTAGTCCCAGGTTCTCAGGCAAGTCATATTTTTCTTCTCTCTGCCTCATTTTTCCCATCTGCAAAGACATACAAGTGTCCATGGGCTAATGTGCATATAGGACTCAAACAGGTAAGATGCTGCATGAACATTCAGTGTCATGCTTCCCAAACCTGTCTTAGAGGTCAAGGTTGTGGCAGCTTGTGGGTGCTGGTTCTCAAAGCTGCTTCATCCAGGTTCAGCGTGCTTTGTGTAGGAAGTGTTTACTGCTTACTGAGTCCTGGTGCTGTATGCAAGGTACTGGTGACTAGAAGAGGGCAAGGGAGGAGTTGCCTGAACCCATTCTTTAATTGTGAATTCTCCCCCACCTCCCCACCTGGTCACTTTGTCCAGTAACTCCCCAAAGACTGATCAGACTTCTCAGTGTACAAGTGCCATAAACAGCTTTTGCCCATTCCCATTAAATGGCCCAAGACAACTGTCAACAGCACTGGTGTTCTCAGGAACAAGGTTCCTCAGGGCATGAGTGAAGAAAACAAGTTATACTGAGAGAAAGAATGGGCGGGGGAGAGAGAGATTACTGTGTCAGCTGATGCTTAGTAACTGTTGCATGTCTGTTTCTATGCCAGGGGAAGTGGAAGGTCAGGGAATGCATGGAACAGGATTACATTGACTGCAATTTTGCTTCCACTTCACTGAGAGAGCAGGCATACCCTGCAGAAGATGATACACCTGCTTTTTTATTCAGCGTAATCTGTTCCTCCCTTCATACCTCTGAGTGCACTGTATCCTTAATAACGCCACTCAGCAGTGCCACCTGAGAAGCTGGAAACACTTTGCAAGTGTGACATTTCATAGTACCCTTGGTGGGGTGGAGAAGCAGGTCAAACATCCTGCTTACCAGGGTGCCAGAGAGGGGAGAAAATTTGCTTATGGTCACATGCAGAATCTGTGCCATGTAGTTCCTTGTCCTGGGCCTTGTCCACAAGAGCAGCCTTGCCTCTTTGGCCCATAGCAATTCAAAGACAGATCAGGATTACTAGGACTTCTCAGGCCTGGCAGAGATGGGTTGTGAAGATGTTTCTCTAGGTAGCATCACAGACAACAGATTGGGAGGAAAGGGAAGCCAGCAGAGCAGGGCCTTGGTCACTCATGCAGGGTCAGAAACCAAAAATGGTGGGTCTGAACTGTAAAGCAGCGAGTCATCTGGAATGTACCAGGCCTCATGCAGTGTGCGCCTGGCCCAGGGAAGTGTAGAGGATGTTTCTGCAGACATGGGAAAGCTAGCAGGTAACAGAGGCTGATGATCAGCCTTGGAAAGCTCATGACAGGCACCCTGCCGTGTGCTGGAGAAAGGAGAAACACAAACCGAGGCTGGCCAATGGGAGCAAAATTCTTCCCTAGCTTAAGGGCGTGGAGAGAAACTTACAAGGTGCCCCCTCTAATTCCCCCTGCCTTTCTGCCGGGCACGCCATGTATGTACAGAGCCCTAATCTGTCACACACACAGCTTGCGTGACAGCCTCCTCCCCAGGGAAAAATCAGTCTCCACTGCAGCTCCAGATTGCGGGGAGGAGTGCGTGTGCTTGTTTGCACAGGGGAGCATTGTGGGTAGTGTGTTTAGGACTTAGAATAAGAGTTAGAAGCCCCAGCGGCAACCATGTACCAGCCATGTGACGCCAGCAGCAAATATGCTGTGACGTCCCTGCAGGGCTTCCAGGTGGCATACACAAGAATGAGTTCCAGGGGAAGTGACCTGCCTGAGACTGTAGCGCTGTGGACAGTTACCACCTTGATCTCCTGACGCCCAGCCCAGTGTCCTGCTTGGTGGCTTGCACTGTGATGAGGAGTGGTGGCAGCACGTGCTGGGACATGTGGAGCTTGCGCACCTCCCTGTTTCCTTGTGGGTGGGTTCAGGGAGAAGTAAATGCTTGTCCTATCTGCTCTTGTCTTTCTGCAGTGTTTGGAGAGCTCACTTGACTGCCTGCTCTGCCTCCTCTTCCTCCCCTGCTTGGTGTTGGGTTTTCCCAGGCAAATTAGAAAATGGGGCAGTCTGACGCAGAGGAGGGCCAGCTGCCAGCACCAGTGAAGCCCCCAGATGGTGGTTGGGGCTGGATGGTGCTGCTGGGCTGCTTTGTGATTACTGGCTTCTCATACGCCTTCCCCAAGGCTGTGAGTGTCTACTTCAAAGAACTGATGCAGGACTTCCATGTAGGCTACAGCGACACAGCCTGGATCTCCTCCATCATGCTGGCCATGCTATATGGGACAGGTGAGTGTGTGAGGGCAAGCTCCAGGCCCCTCCTCTGCATACATGAATGTGCAGCATAGGGCTGGTGTCCCCTGCGTGTACTCACAATTCTCAGTGCTCTTCAGCCCCTCTCACTACTAAAAACAAGATGTGGAAGGGGCACATGAGGCCTCTGTTGACAACACCTCTCCTACAAGGGGGACAAACGCTGTGTTGGTTTACTCCTCCAAATCTCCCTTCCCCAAGAGACATCCTCATCCTGTCTCTTCCCTTGAACCTCACCTCCTCATCATCTTCACAAGATGGGTACAGGGGTGTCTCTCTCTGCTCCTGTCACTGATTCCCCATCCTCATTGTGCAGGAAGGGCTCAGTGCAATATGGAGACAGCCACATTCAGCTTCCAAGTGTGTGACAGTCCAGGACATGAATCCCACAGGTTCACACTTCTGTGCCCATAGCCTTGAGCTTGGTCTCTAGTCCTCCTTTGGAGATGTAAGGGGAGTTTCTTTGGCCTTAGAATCCCTTCGTTTGCTTGCTGTGGTGGTGTGAGGAAGCTGATCTGTCCTCACTGACCTCGACCCTCTTTCATTCTGTTCCTCTCTGGCTTTTCTGCCCCATGCAGGTCCTGTGAGTAGCATCATGGTGAACCAGTTTGGATGCCGGCCAGTGATGCTTATTGGAGGGCTCCTGGCTTCCTCTGGGATGATCCTAGCCTCTTTCACCACCAATATTATTGAGCTGTATCTGACAGCTGGTGTGTTGACAGGTAAGAGCCCCCAGAAGGGGAACATCTATGTTTATGGGGGATAAGACCATCAGATATACAAAGCCAGGACTTGTGGTGGGAAGTTACTTAGAGCCAGAAGAGACAGATAATCTCTAGGTACTACAGTAACTCAAGATGCAAAAATTATGTAAGTACAGAGATGGGAGGAATGGAGACCCTGCCCCCCGCCCCATCTGGACTTATGGAATCTGTTTCAATACAGTTCAGCCTGGGAAACTGCTACTGTATTTCCCCTGAGGGAGTCCCAACTAGAGCTGGGAATGATGGAAAAAGTGCTGGAGGGCTCCTGGCTTCCTCTGGGATGCCAGGAGTCTGAGTCCATGGAAGAAATACATACAAAGTTTCTGAGTCCATGGAAGAAATGTATGTCCAGGTAGGATAAGGGGTGTGCAGCATGGAGACAACAGTGGAGTGGGCAAGAAGCATGAAGATAAATGCTGTGGCTTCTGCCCTTTTTTCTATGTTTGCTGGCTAAGGGAAAAGGATTGCTCACGTATAGTGCGGATCAGCTCAGGGTGCTGCTATGGCTGGTGAGGGGGGGCTGCTTTTATGCCACTGGCTCTTGAAGCTGGAGGACAGGAGGGGGCGTTTGAACTATGACTTGGACCCTTCCCTGTGAATGCTCAGGCACCCCCCACATCCCAGCATGGAGCCGAGAGGTGGTTAGTGGTGTTAGTCTGAAGTTAGGAACAAGGTGTCACCTTAGAGATTAACTGGTTCACAGAAGCATGAGCTTTCATAGGTTACTGTGAAGCAGCATCCGATGAAGTTGGCTGTTGCCTAAGAAATCTAACTCATTTCTGAACCAGTGCCTCTGTCACCCTGCCCTGATTTGGCCTAACATGGAGTTGTAGGCATGTGTTGTAAAGCAGCAGGTAGAGCAGGCCCATGAACCTCACTGTCCAGGACTCCTGCTCCATAGCTTGCAAAGGCTAGTAACATGGTGGGAAGGTACTTGATCAACCTTTTAGGGTTGGCTCATTCGCTGTCAGAACACGATTTGAGCTGAAGTGAAGAACTCTGTGCAGCCTCCTACATACAGAAGTAGAGTCATTTTGACATGGGAAGCGGGGAAGTGAAAGGAGGAGAACCATGGGTGGTCAGATATTTTGGAAGAAGAAAAATTTGCAGCTCTAAGTGAAAACCTTGGTCCATTGTCCTTTTTTCTCTTCTGGACTGCACTGGCCCTGCTCAAGAGTTTAAAAAAGAAGAACCCAACTAAGGCGGTGGTGGTGAAGTCCATGTAGGCAATGATGGGACAAGCTGGTGGTTAGCATGCCATAGCTGAAGACAGGGGACAGTGGTACACAGCAAGTGGAATGGCAATTCTTTGGGACCTGGGGATGCATGTTCTTATGTGTACACACCAGAGCTGTGTGGACAACTAATATTTGGGTAGAAGATGCGAATCTCTTGGGTGCTAGGGTAGGGTGAATGTAGGGAGAACCTCAGGAGAGGTTTAATTTGTTGAGATCCTTTTGCCTCCTTGTTTCGCACCAATCACTCTCTATTACCTCTGTCCCCTGTTCCCACCTGCAGGTCTAGGTATGGCTCTGAACTTCCAGCCCTCCTTGATCATGCTTGGTTCCTACTTCGACAAGCGTAGACCTCTGGCCAATGGGCTTGCTGCAGCTGGAAGCCCCGTTTTCCTTTCTGCCCTCTCTCCTCTGGGGCAAGTCTTGCTTGAGAAATTTGGCTGGCGAGGGGGGTTCCTCATCATGGGGGGGTTGCTGCTCAACTGCTGCACCTGTGGAGCTGTCATGAGACCCCTGGAGATGAGCATGAAGCAGAAGATGGAGAAGGTCCAGGACAAATATGAAGCCAAGGAGATGCTGCCAATGGGGGAAAAGACAGAGGAGGCCATGACCACAACCAATGAAGCCAAGTCAAAGAAAGCCAAGAAAAAGAAGCCCAAAAAAGGGAAGAAGCTGTTGGATTTTTCTATTTTTTCCAACAGGGGGTTTGTCATCTACGCCATCTCTAAGTTCATCCTGGTCTTGGGTCTCTTCGTTCCTCCTATCTTATTGGTCAACTATGCTAAGGACATTGGAGTGCCAGACACAGAGGCTGCCTTCCTGCTCTCCATTATTGGCTTCATAGACATTTTTGCCCGACCATCCTGTGGGGTAGTGGCTGGGTTGAAGTTTATCCGTCCTCACATGGCCTACTTATTCAGCTTTGCTATGCTCTTCAATGGCTTAACAGATATCTGCAGTGCCAGGGCTAGCAACTACACAGCGCTGGTCATTTTCTGTGTCTTCTTTGGCATCTCCTATGGGATGGTGGGTGCACTGCAGTTTGAAGTGCTGATGGCCATAGTTGGTTCCCAGAAGTTCTCCAGTGCCATTGGGCTGGTCCTGCTCATCGAGGCTGTTGCTGTGCTCATTGGGCCACCTTCAGCAGGTATGTCTGGTGCCCTAAATAGCAGCTTGTCAACCGGTTGTTGTTGGTGGCCTGATGTTGGGACATTCAGTGAACAAAGCAAGGCCCTTGGCTAGGTCCTTTCAAGGAGTGTGAAGCATTCAGCCATTGTAACTGCATGTTTCTTGCCCAGATTGGATTGGTAAAACGTATCTAAAGCCATCTAATGGCATGATAGTTACCAAAGATGGGTGGCCTTGGGGTGCCTAGCACCTGGAGGGTTTATGAGCCTGCCTTTCTATGACTCAGCCAGAGGAGTCTGAGCAGGTTATTGACAGGAGGTGAATAGGCTGATGTCTAATTTTAAAATGGAGTGAATGAGGGATGGAGTGAATGAGGCCACTACCTTTCTAGGGGAAGGGGAAGATGTTGACTGATTATACATGTATAGGTATATAAGCTTTTTAAAAATTTCCTGAAATCTTTTGGTAATAATGCATGGAGCTGGGTTCTGTTGTTAAATATCTTCCCCCCAAACAATGAAATGAAATATTTGAGTCAAAACTAATGCACAACACAGATTATAATTAGTCCAGGTGGATGGTGGTCCTTTCAACTGTCAATATTTGCAGTTACAGGCATTAAGTTAGACCTACCACTAGTAGAGGAGCTACCTTTGACTTTCCTTATTCCTACCCCGCAGCACCGCTTGCTGTTCCCTACCTAAATTCTATGCCTTATCTGATTCCATTGGTTAAGTACAGACAGGCAAAAAGCCCGAGGTTGAATCAATTCAATCTTTGCAGGTCAGTCTAAGCTGCATAGATTGAACCGATAAGCAAGTGAACAAACATTCACTTTTGATTCCAGAGATGCAGCCACATGCCTCCCTGCAGCCAGAAGCCCAGGGGAGCTAGAGCTGCTGCCTGCTTGGCTGGAGCAGACATCTTGGGCCAAGGCTAGCCTGCCCACCCTGTGAAGAGGGGTTGGTGGGGGAGGTGCAAAGCATCCTGGGATGCTGGGGGCCTGTGAGTTAACTTGAATCTGGAGGGGATCTTGGACAGAAGTTCAATAAACTGATTGGATGGACCTAAATCAGTTCAGTCTGATACTATATCCATCCAAGTTTTTTAAACTGGTTTCAGTCACTTTGAAAGTGGTTTATGTGAGCTGAAATTCTGTTGTGTTACAGATTTGAACTGAGTTCCGACCACTTATACTAGTTTGTGTAATCTCTGTCCCTAGCCAATGACTCCTACTGCAACAAATCTAGTAGCTCCTGCTCTTTCAGCTCTAGGCATTTGCTTGCATGAGAAGGTAACACTATATTGACTCATGTTTTGATAGATTTGAGCAAATACTGCAGAAAAATCTATAAAAAAACCAACTTGAGTAAAACCAGCAAATTCTCATTAGTATTCACAGCCTTCCTGACTTTCTGTGAATATTCATGAGGGTGGTTTTTCTTTTGGTTCATGGATGAAAGGCCAAGTCTGGTAAATATTTGTTGTAATACATCATTGCCAGAATGCATGGTTCCAAGGTAAATCATTTTACAACCCCTCGCTGCCCCCCTCACACATGTGCGTGCACACACATGCACACGCAGAAAACTTGAAGACAAAAAAAAGAACTCTGCCATCCAATAATGAAATTGTAATCGTACCAAGTGACTAAGGCAAGTGTTAATGCATCATATGGAGTTGAGTGAATGCTCCTGTTCCAATGGAAGGAACTGGGGGGTCACAAAATAAAATGAGTAGACAGTTTAAACCTAACAAAAGGAAGTTTTTTCACACTATGTGTTTTAAGTGTGGAGCTCCTTGCTACCAGATGTTGTGGAAGCTGACAGTTTAGCCACATTCAAAAGGGTATTGCAAAAATTCTTGGAGGTAATGCGCATCAGTACCTGTTGAGCCTGGGAGTGAGGGGCACAGTCTGTGAATCAGACCGTATCAGATCTTAAATGCTGGAGGCTGCAAGTGAGAGGAACAGTGGACAAAACCCTGGTCATACTCTGTTCACTCTTCCTTTCTGCATCCACTGTGCCACTGTGAGGCACAGGATCTGGGCCAGATGAGATCTATAGCTTGACCTAGTAAACAACAATTCTTATCGTCTTCAGTTGGCTACCACCCTGCAGGCTAATTTAGTCAAGCATCAAAGCCCAAATCCTGCTCCCCTTGCCATTAGCCACATAAATTACTTGTTGAGCCACTTGAAATTTTTTTTAAAGATCTGACTTCTCCTTGCGCAGCTTCCTGTGTCCTCCTGACAGTTGCCCCAAGTTCCAGAAAAAAATGAACAAGAGTCATTTGCCTAGAGAGTAGCAGACCCATCTTTTAAGCGTTCTCATTTTAAAGCAGGGTGGTGAAACCATGTCTATTTCTGAGCAGAGGGCCCTAACCAGGAGTCCCAAAGCTAGATATTGTGAAGGGCGGCTGAAAAAGCCCCCCCTCCAGCATTGAAGAAGGGAAGATACGTGGGGCCAGGAGAGTGGGGCAGAGATGATTTCTGCCTTATCAAGCCAGGGACCCTGGACTATGGTTCTGCTTGCAATGACACAGGAACTATGCTGCTATTATCTGGCCATCTTAGCCCATGTCTGTTGGCAAAAACGCACGTGTGTTTGTGTCTTTCAGAAGGGTGCAGGGCCAGGAGGAGCAGAGGGGCCTACTTTGAGCTACACACTCGCACTTCCTTCTCTCCTTGCCCCATATATATTGCCCTCTTGGTTGCCATTGACCTAACTTCAGTGGAGTAGACTGGAGAATGCTCTTGGTTAACACATTGCCCTTGGGTTGGTAGCTAGTAGGCCTGTGCAAATAGGGAACTATTCAATTTGGATTCCGCCTATTTAGATGCCAGAGTTTCGATTCAGAGATCCAAATTGTATTTCCAATTCGATTCGGAACCGATTCAGAGACTCGGCCATAGAGTATAATGGGGAATCAATGAAATATCTATAACTTTGTTGTCTTTTGGCTAATTCAGACAAAACTTGCAGGGATGGTCGCCTCTGCTGAGAGCATGATGTGCCAGGTTTCAAGGAGATAGGTGCAGGGGTTTTTGGGAAACTGCACCCCAAAGTTCTGAAAGCAAAACTCATGTCACGTGTGTGTGTGTTAAGCCACAGGGGGTGAAGACTGCAGGGGGGCTAGCCCTTGCTCAGGCCACAAAGCCTGCCATGTTTCAAGGAGATCGGTGCAGGGGTTTGGGGGAAACTGCACCACAAATACTTGAAAGCTTGAGGTGCAGTTTCCCCCAAACCCCCACACCTATCTCTTTGACACTTGGCATGCATCATGCTCTCCACAGAGGCTACCATCCCTGCATGTTTCATCTGAATCAGCTAAAAGACAACAAAGTTATAGATATTTCATTGATTCCCCATTATACCCTATGGCCAAATCTCCAAATCTTTTCTGAATCAATTTGGAAAGCCTAAAGCTTCCCCTGATTTGATTCGTATTTATAGATTCGAACTCCGAATCATCTGAATAATCTCCAAATCCGAATCATGATCTGAAGCTTTGCACAGCTTTAGTAGCTAGACCATCAGGCTGAAAAATGCAGGCTCAAGTCCCCCTCTGGGTGAGGGGGGATCTAAGCCTAGGTTCTCCAGTCCTGGGTGAGGGCTCTGCCTAGAAGGCTGCTGGGCTAAAACCTGGGAAAGTTCCTTCTGTTCTGGGTGCTAAACACTTCCCAGGGGAAGCAGGGTCTAAGTTGACTTTGGGCCGAATTGTTTAACAAAGATCCAAACTACTGGTTGAAGCAGAGTTTGCTGGTGGATAATAGGGATATCAAGAGCAAATGCACCGAACACATTGAGCTACCTGATCAGTTTGTGATGCACCATAAGCAAATGCCTAGACAGAGCCCAGATTCTTGCCTTCTGTGTGCTCCTTCCCTGGAAATGCCAGTCAATGAAATCCACTATGTGACTGGAATCTTCCCCTACACTGCACCAACTCTTTCAGCCAAGCCCAATCAAGTCCTACAGTAGATTTTGAAGGCAGGGCCCTGCCCAAACATAAGGTGATAGGGAGAGAAGTCATGGAGAGAGTGCTCATAAATAACAATGTTAGTTCCTGTAGCCTCTCTGTTCCAGATGGGAATGTGGTTACTGTCCCATGGGCCATTGCAGCCCCCAGCAGGAGACTGCTGGCCCTGTTATAGTGGGCAAAATTTGAGGACCTTAACAAAGGCAGGTGCAGAAAGATGACCAATAACAATTCACCAGTGTTTCATAGCTCTTGTATGCCATTTTGATAGACACACCTTGGCCAAAAAAACAGTGGGCAGCAGGAAGGAGGAATGGTGCTTATTGAATAGCTCATCCTGTATGCAGTTCTGGGCCTGAACTGGACAAGTAAGGGACAGGGGTGAGCTGGAAAAAAGGAAGGGAAA